TATCTTGGTTCCGATCTTGATTTGCATGGAGAAATTTTTAAGGCTTTGTCTTTGTGTCGTTATCTTGGTTCCGATCTTGATTTGCATGGAGAAATCCTTAAGAGTTTCTAATAACGTTAACGTTTCACAGATGGATAGGGCTTCGATTCTTGGCGATGCAATCGAGTATCTGAAAGAGCTTTTGCAAAGAATCAATGAACTTAATCATGAATTGGAGTCGACCCCATCAAGCTCTTCATTGGTGCCTGCTGCCGCCACTGCTGCTGCCACCGGCTTCTATCCGTTAACCCCGACTGCAACCACGATCCCGTCATGCATCAAAGAAGAGGCTTTTCCCAGCGCGTTGCTTAGCCCAACTGGACAGCCTATTAGGGTAAATATAGGCGCGTTTAATTCTATTAGCTTAACGTGCTCGTTAACATTTATAACTTTCCCGTTTGAGTTAAGGCCTGTTTAATAGTAGCTTAATAGGAATCACAACTTATTCGGTCAGCTATATATGACTCTTTGGTAGTGGCTTAATGATATAGAAAGTGGCTCATTCAGTAAGCTTTTAGGGGGAGCCTTATGCAGAAAACCAAGTTTTTTCCAAATCCCCCTTAAAAAAAACACGCTCCTTCCATCTATGGAAAAAGCCCGCACAAACAAAAMACTTCCCAATCTATACAGGCACGTTAGTTCACACAGACAACTTCATCCATACAGGATCTAATGGAAAACCAACCAAACAACCCCTAACGGGAAAGCTGGCTGTTAGCGGATAAACTAGTCACATTTGGTGAAAACTATGTGACAATGCAGAATGACCTAAAAAAGGCTAGGGCTTTTGGTTATTTATGTAAAATATTAGAGGCATAATGGGACAAAAGTGAAAAAAGCCCCTAAAGCTGGTTGAAACGCTACTGAAGTGTATTTTTGAAAAGCTAGCTTATGACTTACCAAAGAGGGCGTTGGTATAATTACATCAGACCTTAGAACGCAATGAATTGAATGTAAGACTATCAAAGCAAACAGACTATACAAAACCGGCATAAAAATGTTTATTTTGCAAGTATTTAGTGAAGGGTAATGAATGGAAAGTAAAGATCCACCGTTAAATGCTTAAATTTGTAAGCTTTTTTTACGCATCTCCGTTCTTTATATAGTATGCATGCTATCAGTTAGTTCAAAATCGTCAAGTGGCCAATAAACATGAACACCGTCTTATGGTAATGATTTATGCTGCAACATGTTTTGTTTTTCGTGTGTCGGTATGTAGATTGAGGTGAGGCAAAGAGAAGGAAAAGCGGTGAATATACACATGTTCTGCAGTAGGAGGCCGGGTCTGTTGCTTTCGATCATGAGGACTCTTGATACTCTAGGTTTGGACATCCAACAAGCGGTTATCAGCTGTTTTAATGGATTCGCACTCGATGTTTTCCGAGCTGAGGTACGTAATTGGAATTTTAACGCCTACATTTAACTCGCTCATTGCAAGATCAATGTGCCAATAGTGATATATATATATATACCATAGAACGCCAATCTTGAATGATATATGGCGTAGGCCTTAGTAGGTAATATAGCAGGGGTATTCACGGAAACAGTTTCGTTACTCTTTGGGGTGGAGGTAAGGTCAGCTTGGTTACAATTTTCCCTTCCCCTGGACCCCACTTGGGGTCGTGTTACATATGTACGAAGACTATATATCGTCAGATGAGTAATAAGTAAAACAATACATACATATATATAGGGTCCGGTTCAGAGAAAAATGCAAAAAAAATGAAAAAAATGAGAAACACCTTAGTAAGCATTCATTTGTATGGTATCCACATGTAATTGAAGATGTTTCCTGGTTTTTATGCATGTGTGAATTTGTATGCACATGTGCATACGGTCAAATTACTTGTATGCACATGTGCATACCATATAGATGAGTAGTTATTCGGGTGGTCCTTAGTTTTTCAATTTTTGGGGTTTTCCCCTGAACCTCATTCTCTTTATATATATATACATAAGTTCATATTATATTATATTAAAAGGACATACAAATAAAAACAAGAAAGATGTCTTGAAATGACAACGTAACATTAAATTCACTTGAATAAAATCATTCTTCGGAGGCCGGAATCGAGTAAAAGCCTAAAACATTATAATTAGGTTGAATTGAAGGCACCCAAGGCTATATCTCATATATGAACTTCGCATGACTCTGGCGGACCCTACTCCCAGGGGTGGACCTATGAAGGCCTCAGCGGGGTCCCATCCACTCAACCCATTTTCGCAAGTAGAGTTTTAATTTGGCTAAACTTTGAGGGGTGCTCCAAGATATTAGAAATACAAGGAACATCAACCAAAAAAACCTTTCGAAATCAACCAAAAAAACTTATAGAATTCCTAAAAATTGAATCCCTCGAAATCAACAATTTTTTTAAAGAATCACTAGAAATCAACCAAAAGACTCAAAAAATCTCTCAAAGTGGTTGAATTCGGCCAAAAACACATCGGGCGACTCTACGGGCCTTTGATCCAACTTAACGTGCATTAGCTCGGCAAAATTCTTGGGTCCACCGCTAGTACTTCATTGGGTTTGTTTTTTGTGATTTTGCAGCAATGCCATGAAGGGCAAGATGTGCACCCTGATCAAATCAAGGCGATGCTACTGGAATCGGCCGGCTACCATGGTGTGGCTTAGTCAAGGAACAAGATGAAACGATCGGTGGCTTCTAGTAGTATTAGTTTCTTCTCAAGTTAAAAAACTGTGTTCCTTTTGTCTTCTTGTTGATGCTGTCAGAATTGTGTAGGAAGTGAAATTGATGGATGGAAAACTTGCATGCACAACTTGTAGTTTTTGGTTGAAATGAATGTTGCTTTTGATGTAGCTTTGGTGAATGGCTAAGAACCTGCATCCATGGTTAATCCAGGTTTGGGTTGACCAGTGTAGTAAGTTGGTTCAGCAGTGGCTCGGTGGAAGTCACTCAGATTTGTGTGTACGGTCTAGGGTCGAGAGACCAAGTGATGCACCAGGGAACCGTTGGGTTTGTTGATTCATTGTGAATACTAGACTGGAATGAACCTATGTGTTTGTTGATTCATTGTGAATAGCAGATATGTGTTTGTTTATTCACAAATGAATGCAGAAACAGGAGTGATAGGGGGTAAGAAACTTCTCTCAACTTTTACAAGTCCAAAAGACATGATTACCCTTTCGAATAAACCTTCACATGTGTTGAATGCCGTCTTCCGTTCGGGTGGATTCGAATTTGAATTTGATGGTCTACAAAAGATTGAGACGGCCATGGTACCGCTATAAGATGTAGTTTAGAGAAAATGGTAGCTCCACTTATATGATCGAGGAGATCATMAAGGCAAGGAATTGGGAAACAATATCTCGCAGTTTTCTACATGTGTGCGTCATGTTGCTTCCTTCTTTGAGATTAGACAAAGTTAAAAGCTCGGAAGTAATAGAATATATATATATATATATATATATAGAGAGAGAGAGAGAGAGAGAGAGAGGACGTTTCAAATGCAACTCATTGTATTTGTACAACCAATGCAACATCAATTAAAATATTTATGAAAATGATGAAAGTTCATTTATTATGATTTGAAATCACATGTTCATGAAATCACATATTATGATCAATACTTTATATTATGAAACAATCAATACTTTCATGAAATCACATGTTCATCAAATTAAATGGACGATTGAGATCGAATTATATTGGTTGTACAGATGTAAAAAATAACAAAACCTCTCTCTCTCTCTCTCTCTCTCTCTCTATATATATATATATATATATATATATATATATAATGATAGGGGTGTTTCGTGCATTCACATGTGCTACTTCTTTAAGAATCTTTGTATCGTATCCTTCTTTTGGGGACCACTCTTCCAACAACATTGCTTAAATATTTAATGTTTTTTTAAGAGAAATTAAAGAATCATTTTCCTTATTTAAATTAGTCTTATAACCACTTATTAGGTTGATTCAAAAGAAATGTCAAATTTTCAACCATCGTAACTATATATTTGGTTGTAGCAATTGCATATTTGTGTTGAATTTGATTTTTTTGCCTTTAACTAGATATTACAGAAGTAGTCATATTTAGGTCAACTCAGAAAAGAAACTGTTAGAAAACCAAATAAATAGGCTAGTACCATATGGAAAATTAGACCAAAATAATCGATCTCTCGAACTAAATTTATCTTTTAGTCATTTTTTTAATTAAATTCTTTTATTAGTCATACTTTATATAAATGCCATACCTATTGGCCTAAACTCAATTTTCAAATTAAAAAAAAAAGAACATAATTTTTACGTAAGTATCTACATTTATGTAACCCATTTAGATAAGGATCTTTACACAAATGGCTTACGCATATATTTAAAATATATTTTTTTTTAATCCAAAAAAAGGCTTTAACTCTTAACTGAAACGGGGAATGTGATTCCAAAAATGACTAAAAAGTGAATTTGGTTGGAAGATTCAATTATTTTGGTCAATTTCTTTTAAATCATGAATGAGAAGGGCCCGTGAGTTCATATTTCATTTACCGATAAAGCCGACATATTGGCAACATCCCCTAGACCCGGAAAAGCCCAATCTCGCAAGCCTAAAGGCCTAGTTTAAAAAAACCCAATCGATCCTATTTTCCACTTGTATATTATTGCTTACTTTTAACGAACTTTTCAAATCTTTATCTTTACAGCATTAGCCGCTTTACCCTTTAGGATAAAGGTCAAAAATTCGTACATCTTACTCCTCCTAAACCCCACCTCCGGATGCCAAATGACACATTCGTATGGTTTGATTTTCTAAATCAGAAAATCAACTAAGAGCCCGTTTACCAAACGATTACCTGGGTGAGCGTCGTTTATCAAGTCACATTATGAAACCGGATGAATATGACAAGGACCAAAAAATTTACCCAGTATGAGCGAGACAAGGAACAAGAATCTTACCCGGTAAGTGATGGCGACGACTCTTACCACGGTAAGAGCTTATCGGGTAAATTATTGCATACGGTGCCATTTTGGTGGACTAAAATCTTATCCGGTAAGTAAATAATAATGTTTAATTTTACCGATAAACACTTATTTGGTAAACGTCCCCTAACTCAATATGTTATACATAATCTACACATATCAACCATCCCCAGCCCCAAAATCAATCACCCACCAACCCTCATAAAAGAGGGATACAAGCAGGTATATTAAAGCAGGAACCCAACTTACATTACAACTAAAAATTCAAGTTACATATATATACAACCATACTATTTAATATATATATATATATATATATATATATATTATAATAAAACTAAAAATTCAATAACTTCTCCTTACATTGAAACTAAAATTGAATAACTTCTCCTTACATTGAAAAATTGGGAAAAGCTAGCAAAACACCTCTTTACATCATGCCATCCTCTCCCAATATCACATATATATACAACCATACTATATATATATTAATCATAACAATAATAATGTTAAGAAATATATGTATATAACAGCTCCAACTGTTCAAAATTGAAAACATCATCATATCACCATCAAAAGAGTTGCCTCCAGTCAGGGAAGTTGGAAGCATCTTGATGCACCTTACTTAAAATTAATTATTTCAACTGTTGTCAACTGCCATAAGATATATGTATATATATATCATACTCCCTCCCTATCCACCTACACAACATATACCTGCCAATTTCAAAATTCTCTATTACTTCTATATGCTTCATGGGTCTTGCATTTCTATTTCAAAACAACATATCATCATATATATATATATATACACACACATATATGAGGCTTAATCATTTGAGAACTCCAAAATTTGTGAGATTCGTGAGAACTTCCACCTTAAGGTTTTGTTTCACATGATTTTTTTTTCCATCTATCCTGTCTAATGTATTGATTAATATATATTTTGTTTTATATGTATTCAGTTTACAATGTGAAACTTTTTTACAGTGTATTTTTTGCTTCACAAACATGCTTAAAAGGTTCACATTGTGAACCGGGTACATATGAAACAAATATATGTAAATCACTACATTAAATTCTAGCCATAGATGAAAAAAGATCATATGAAATAGCACATGATGCACCAGTTCACAGAGATCTCAAGATTTATAGAGTTATTAAAAGAAAAGGTTTAACGAGAACCATAAATACTTTGAGAACAAGCCATTTCATCGTGTATTATTCATGATGAATGACCCTAAATAGTCATGAATATCATACCTTCTCATCATTAATACCGTGTATTTTCATTATGGATAACTATCCATCACGATATTCATAGTGAATAATAAAGCATGGATAGTTGGTTGTCAGGTTCTCAAAATATTTAAGGTTCACATTTAAACATGCCCCTATACATAGGAGCGGACCCACATGGATAGATACGGTGGCACAGGCCACTGCTTCATGGTTCCATCGTAAAGGGAAAAAATTACGTTTTTGAAGGGTGCCACCGTATTGTTCTGTTGGGTGCCACCATATAGAATTTGAAAATGAAATGTTAACACAAGACTTTAATGGCTAAGATTGGAAATGTTTCTGCCTTGTACAGAAGGACCAAGTTCGAGTTTGACAGTTGTCAAATTTGTTGTTTTTCAGCTTAAATTTTGGTGTTTCTTTATATACCTCGTGTTTTTAAAAATATATGCAGATCGGACTTGAACATGGGTCTTTTCTATGCAAGGACAAGAACCAACCAACAGATCTATACTAACATTGTGAAGAAACAAAATTAGATATTTTTTTATAGTCAAATTGTGCCACCACTAGGAAAAAAAATTGGGTCCGCCACCGCCTATACGTACATACTATAGCACACAAAAACGCAGAGAAATATATTCTAACTACATATATATACTAAAATTAGTAAAGACCGGAGTTGGTTATCGTACCTAGATATAGTAAAAACCCTATGCATGCTCGGGACTTGAAGATGATGGAAGAGTCTTTGTGTCCCTAGCATCCATGCCTTCTGCAACCGATGAATTGTCCTCACCCCGTGAATTTAAACTTCCAAGATTCATACGTTGAACCTCTTCTCTAGTATAAATAAAGATCTTACGCACCATTCCACAGAATTCCCTGATAGGAGAGTAGTCGGTATTTGAAACATTTGAAATTGCAATTAATCAACTGTAAATATAAGTTCAATACCCCCTCCATAGGAAAATAAGTATCCACATTTTTATTTTAGTTTGTCCGAAAGAAGTGTCCACTTTCAAAAGCTAGTGCCTACTTTCTAATTCTACCTTTAATTATGACATGGAGAAATCCGTTACTGTGTCTATTATCAAGGGTAAAATTGTAAATTAGTTAATTAGAAGTGTAATAGTTACACATTTTCTAAAACTGTGCCTTTTTTCATTATGGACATTTATTTTGGGACGGAGGGAGAATTTTACAAAACAAGTCCTTACTGCCATGGATCATCTCCAACAAGCATCATGTCACCCTCATCATCCGTGTACACAACCAGCCAAGTCTTGTTGCGGGTTTTCAGTTCTCCATTGAATTCAAATAACTCATCCAATTCAGCAATCAGTTCATCGTAGTTGTTGAACTTACTAAGATCCAAAGACCTACCAAGAGCAATCCCCTGCTTATGAACCTGTAATCAATACAACTTGTAAAAGTTAGGGTCTGTTTGTTAGCAGCTTAATGAGCTTAATTTGACTCGCAGCTTATTAGGTCAACTATACATATGACTGTTTGGTAGTGTCTTAATGATATATAAAATGGCTTATTCAGCTAGCTTCTAGGGGGGAGCTTTATACAGAAAGCCAAGTTTTTTTTCCAGACCTTCCCCTCCAATTAAAAAACACGCACCCTCCATCTATGAAAAATCCTCCCAAACAAAAACATTCCCAAGCTATATAGATAAATTAATCCACAAAGACAACTTTATCCATACATAACTTAATGAAAAACCAACCAACAAGATACATAGAATCCACCAAACAGTCATTGGCCTAGTGGTACCTGGATTACCGGTAGAGCCCAGCCTCCCTGGAGGTCACGGGTTCAAGCCTTACCAAAGGTGGGGTGTGTGTGAGACAGAGAGTATTTGCCGTATATAGATATTATATACTTAAAAAAATCCATACAACCAATACCTTTGTACAACTCCTTGTTGAAACTCCTTGGACTTTGGCATGACCATCCCTCACTTGTGGTTGGGAATTTTGATATTGCTGCTCTCGCTCTTTACCAATAACTTTCGGACTCTTGGATTGTTCAAATCTCTGATCAGATTCAAGCGTGGGGTACGATTGCGATTGTAACCCTTGATGTGAATTCCCCGCCTCATCGGATGCAACCTTATTGCCAGCAAGGGGTACGCCAAATATTTTACAATTTCCATCCTGTGGCTTCCTGACCTCATTCTGGTGAGAAAGTGGAGACTTCGGCATCACCTCAGTAGAATGAGAAGGCATATGTAGATACGAAGGAAGCGGTGGAGGCATCATCCACTTCCCATGTTGCTGTTCACTACCCCTTCGATTAAGATGAACGGAATACTCGCCAAAGGCACTGCTCCTACCATCCCGTGCCTGATATGGAATATCACCGGCTTGAACGCCTTTTATGCTTGAGCCCAACAAGTTGAGAGACAGATTGGAGGGCATGGTGGACCACGGGTTCGAACGTAAGCTGAATTTTTCTTCAGTTTGACCAGCAGAAGATGCAGAAAATTCGGTTGAAGTGTTGTGGGCTCCAAACCCTGATAATAGATCTGTGAAAGAGGATTCAGCAGGCCTGCCGAAGGGTAAAATTTTCTCCGTCCCATAACGTCGGGATGAAACTGCATCAATTTTGTCTTCGTCTATTACTGAATATGGCCATTGAATCGGCCTATTACATGAATCTGATTCATTACTCTCTGCAAATGGGACTCTCAGTGCTGGCAGTTCTTGCCCTTGCAAGACCCTTGAAAATGCATTTGAAGGTGAAGGGTCTGCTGCAGCTGCTTTTGATGGGCCTATATCAAGTTCACTTATTAATGAACAAAATTCGTTGTATAGAGGGCAAAATGCATCAAAATGCAACGAAGTTTGCCTTAGTTCTTATTTAATGTAACAAAAAAATTTATTTCTCAATCAATGTAATAAAGTTTAAAATTCTCTATTTGAATGTAACGAACTTCCAAAATTTCCTATTTTGTACCCTTTTGACCGTAACCAGCTGAAATTTTGTTACATTGATTAGAAAATAAACCAAACTAAATGGTACAAAATAATCTTTTTTGAAACTTTGTGACATTAGATAGGAAATTGTAAACCTTTTTGAGAAAAAATATTATTTGTTACACTAAATGGGAACTAAACCATAAATAGATTCATCAAGACTGTGAAACACTGCTAGGGAAATAGATACCTTCTCTTGTAAGAACAGATGAATCAGGAGACGAAGGCAACATGCTTGATCGAGGCCTTTTTTGTTTATGCACTGGAAGTGGACTTATTGCAGGAGGGGTGAGAGCAGGTTCTATTTTCCAAGGTGAAACTCTCTCTGGACGAGGAATAGTCGAGGTTTCATCCCATCGTACCTACAGGAGAATAAAAGAAAATAAGATTGTGTGACACTAAGGGGCTTGTATGGATAAAGTTGTATGTGTGGATTAATCCGTCTTTATAGATTCGGAAGGTTTTTGGTTGGGAGGGTTTTTCATAGATGAAATGAGCGTGCTTTTTAATTGGGAGGAGTAGGTTTGGAAAAAATTTGGTTTTCTGCATAAAGCTCCCCCAGAAGCTTCCTGAATACGCCATTTTCTATATTATTAAGCCACTACCAAACATTTATGTATAGTTGATCGAATAAGCTGTGAGATCCATTAAACTGCTAACAAACATGCACTAAATAAAGTGAAAAATATATATTTTGCACGACTGCTAATATTACCTTCAAGCATCTCCACTTAGATTCAGGCCACCTTTTTGGATCAGACTCTTCAATCCCAACTACTGTTCCAGTAAATCTACAGGATTAAAGAAATTATCATTTCACAACTTGGGCATTGAGAAAGATAATAGATTTGGAAAATGTAGAGGAAAAAGATCAGCTTAAAACACTCAACAGTAGCAAAATCAACTAGCTATACCTTTGCTCTGGAGCTTCTTCACCTTCAAACCTCATTTTAAATCTCATCCCTATAGAGTAGTTGTTCTTGATAGACTCCATGTACTGGTCATAAGGAACAATGAACTCTGCTGGGCTAGTCCTATAACAATTTTATGTTGTAAAAATATTAGTGTCAAATGGGGACAAGAAAAACGAGATCAGACATAACAGTTAAACTCAACACCCTTATTAACAACACATGCACTTATGGAAATAAAATTTAACCAGCAGAGATTTTGACAACAATACAGACAATTGCCTGAGCATTTGATAAGCAGACAGAACAGAAGTGGCAAAAGAGGTAGGCGGGTGAAAGAAGAGTGGAGGGTTTTAGGGTTTTAATTTGACATGGGTAATTTAATAATTACCAATCTTGTCCCATCTCCCTGATTTTTGTTCCACCTGCTTTTGGTGGGACAGAAAAAATGCATTTTTGTCCCACTAGGTCATGAGACAAGCTCTTGTCTTGGCCTGTCCTGTCCCACGTACCAGCCGCAACCAAAACAACATTAAGATAATATGCTCCCATTGAGGTTTAGACAAGAACCTTAAGAATTAACACAGGCTCAACTTTGTTCAATCAACTTTTGCAATGTAGCATTAAGATCCACTGTATTGATCACATACCTAGGCTTGTAATAGATTGTAAATATTGTTCCTGTCTGGATGGCATGCAAAGCGGTTGCAAGGACTCCAAGATGCATGCTATGACTGGATATGACAGACGATGGGACGTTTGCCTGCTGTCTCATTGCACGTCTTACCCCCACACGGAGCTCTCCATTCTCACCTCTATAAATACCATTTACTTGTCAGGTATCAGAAAGTATATACAAAAAACTGAAAAAAGAAAAGAAAACAGGATATAATCTACGAGTGAGACCTGTTATTACCTTAGGAATATAAAGGCATCACCAGCAACGAGCCTTTTAGAACTAACAAAGACACTCCAACCACTTTGAAGAAGATGCCTTCGGGGTTGACCTGAAATTGACAAACTATGAGTAAAACAAATGTGGAAAGGCAGCGGTATACATCATTCAAAAATTGGATCAATTTGTGTTTAATAACAAAACAAGTTTGGCATTCAATCAACTAACACACTTCCCAATTAAAAAAATAGTAAAATGAATGGGGTTTTAAGGAAGCTTGAAGCTTCACAAAACAAACACCTATACAGAAAAGGGAAACTAATAAAGTGAATGAATCCCAATTGCACAAATATAAAGAAAAACATAGATGCAGTCTTGTTCCATCCGAATCCATCTGTGATTTTCTAATGTTCTTACTGTGAATGGAGCTCCATAATTAGCATGTCATTTGTTCAATTCTACCATATTTATATACGCCGTGTGTGTATAAAAATTATACAAAACCGATATCAAAATTATACAAAACCAAACTCTATGGGAAGCTGTTGCTTCAAAATTCAGCATGTATATAGTAATTACCCCGAAATATGTGCCTGAAGCGCCATTCGTTTCCATGCAAATCCTTCGCTACCAGCTCCTGTGTTGGAGGTTGCCTTGACATGTCCTGCCACAACCAGATGACCATACAGGCCTAAGCAACAAACTCCAAATTACTAATCAAAAGAATGTTGATCTTTAGAGAGTAAGCTACTAACCAACGGAGGAAGACATTCGTCAGCATGTCGTCTCAGAACAGAAAACCCACCATGAGTACTCGTATCAGAAGCAGTCAACGTCTTGCAAAAAGAATGCACATGAAATCTAGATTGGGCAGGCGGTGCTGGTTCCTTCTTAACCGAATTTACATCTTGCTGTTGTTAAACAAAATTTCATAAGAAAATAAACTATCAACCACTAACTACAAATATATCAACCGGGTTCATCGGCAGTAAAGGTAAACTCACATCAGGTTCCGGCATCAAAGTTATTTGAGCGAACACCTCGTCTGTCTCTTGTTCAGCCTACAAACACAACCACACGAAAATTACTCGAAACAGCCAACATCAATCGAGGTAAAACCCCTCTACCACAAACATCAAATTCAATAAAATATCTTCAAATTTGTACCTTCAATTGCACATTAACAACACGGCAAAGGATCTTTGATGGAAGATCATATACCGGCATCTGTTGCTCCGGAACCTGATGGGTTGACGCCTCAACCTAACAAACAAATAATCGACAAGAACTCCTTCAAATTACGAATGGACTATAATCAACTCATCAACAGTGACCTTTTCGAACCCCAATTCACACAAATCCAGATAATTTTGGGGTAAATAGAGGTAAAATTAACACAGCAGCTTCACAAATCAGCTCAGAAATAACAAATACCTAAATATACACAAATTAATACAAATTTAAACCTGTTCGATGTGTCCTTGAGGAAAGTAAAACACAAGCTCATTTTCGCGAGGCACCGTAACGAGCGGACCAGCACAAGCTCGCCAAAGCTCCTTATAAAGAGCCACATCCGCATCAACTAAACAACAACCAGATAAAACCGATTAATTCCCCTTACATAAAACCCCGAACCTCAATTTCTCCATGAAAAAAACTCCTTCAATAAACTTTACCTGCACCGGAAACCGCCGGAACGGTTCTAGAATCACCCACGGCGTCATTTTTGTCGCTAAAACCAGACAAAGAAAACGTGTCCCTGTCTCCTCTCATACTACTATTACCTTTGCTTGAAACCTCTGAAGATGTCATTTCAACACAATAATCGACTCTCAACACAGATCTCTGATCAAAAAAACCCCATAATTCTCAAACAAAAACCCTAAAACTAATCCAGCATGAAATCACAGCAGATCAACACCAAATTGAAGCAAAAAGTTGCGATGAAATGAGGTAAATTGAAGACCACAGAGCTTGAGAAACATCTACATCAACAATCAAAGGGATTATTTCTCTCTCTAAATTATGGAAAATGTAAAGAGGAAAGAAGATATTGATCGACTGGTTGGAGGTCAAAACTGGTGTTTGCAGTAATTTCAACCGGTGATCCAAATCATAAGTAGTGACCGGGTATTTCCGGTTAATTGGACCGGGTTTGTTTTCTCCCGGGGTGGTGTACCAAATCTAAAACGATATCGTATTTTGGCTTTTTGCTATAATTCTTTGCCCATAAAAATCAACACTTCTTCCGACCAATATTAATTAATTTAGTATTTTTTTTTTTATGTATTCATTTGATTATAATTGAATTCATGTGAGACCAGTCTATCTGTTTTCGTGAGATCGGTGAGGTTACAAAATAATATTGAAATTTTACAGCAATTTATTACAAAGGTATGAAAAACAGTGAACCTTCACAGCAAAAATATTGTGAAGGTTTACCTTCAGAAACCTTTACATTGTTTTTATTGTGAATGCTTACTGTTATTTAAGTGGTCTTACAAGTCTCATGAAAACAGTCTGATCTTACATGATCCAATGTCTGATTATAATATATATTGGGTCAAAAATTTAGGAAAAAACCATAAAAGAATGAAAAATTTTGTACGGCTTTTTATAGTATTGGTTTGTTTAAAGTGGCTTATGATGATAAATGAGGGGTCCGGGTTTATTCCAATGTTTTACACTTGAAACTTCACAGTAAAACACTGTGAACGTAACCTCACAATGTTTTTGTTGTAAGGATTCGTCTTTTTTTACCTTCACAACATTTTATTGTGAAGTTTCAATCGTAAAAATCGTGTCTCATGTTAATCCAACCCATAATATTAGTGTTATAGGGTCTGTTTTACTAACAAACCATTTAATTCTAATAAACTATATAAAACATTATATTATAAAGGTATTTATGGATATTTCATGATTTATTTATTATGATTAAGATGGATGTTTGTTTACCTCTTAATATTTTCATAAAGAGACGGTCTCTGAATCGTTAAGATGTGAATCTTGTTTGGCAAAAAAAAAATTTGTCTCTTAATGATTCTAAAACTCTCTGAATGATTTTGAATCTTGGATCTCCCTTAATCATTCAACACCATAATTCCGTTGTAAACAATTACCGAACAATTATATTTCATTTGCAATATATCATGAGAGTCTCTTAATCATTCTGCACTAAACCATTCAGCAACTGTCAAACAATCCTTAATATATATATATATATATATATATATATATATATATATAGAGAGAGAGAGAGAGAGAGAGAGTATGATAAGGTTCATTTATTATGATCATGACTTCAGATTAGAAAACAAAATGGAATTATATATTTATCAGACTAGATCGACGGCGAAAATTGGTTTATATAGTTTGTTAGAATTAGATGATTTGTAAATGAAACGTCTCCTTATTTTATAAACATCATATGGTGTTTAGTTTTTTTTATATAGAATTAATTGAGTTGTTTAAAAGCATCTCTAACAGGTCTGCTATATTTTCTATCTCCTTTTTTCCAAATTCAGATATTTCTCTGTTACTCTTTTTCTATTTTATAACACAGCTATCAGAGATATTCCAGATTATATAACAGATAAAAAATTGTTTTTTATAAAAAAGAGAAAATTAATTTTTAGTCATTATTTTGTATAAAATAACTATTTTGAAAGTAATATTTAACTATTTAAAATATTTTCATATAAATAAACCAATTTTTCAATACTTATACATTCTTACGCAATTATTTTTTAATGGAAAATTTGCTATTTTAATTATAATTTTCAAAGATAACGATCATTATCCCTTTCTCTTAAACAGTAAAAATTGTAAACCATAAGCGTGGTGTCTGATTGGTATGAGTTTGAGTTCTAAAAGTCAAAAGTGCTTGAAGGTCTCAAGTTCAAATCTAATGAGGAATAAAAATCTTTTTGTGGCCACGGAGGTTCAAATGCAATGACTTTATGCTACCCACAAAGCAGGTGGTTGTTCTGAGATTAGTCGATTCATATAGCGGGTTGGATATCCAGATTAATCAAAAGAAAATTGTAATGTTTTTGTATGATATTTATTTCATAATAGAAATCTCGTATATTTCATATCAGCGTATCTTTTTATTGTTAAGCTTTAAATTCTTTACACTTTGTCTTTTTTTTAATAAGGTTTTCTTTAAAATAGAGACATAAATTATAAAAGAATATAAATGTACTCGTGCAAAGCAGCGAGATAAATCTCGATTTTAATATTTAGTTTTTATCATTTATCTCTATTGATGTAATACGATTTTATGTGTTTTTGAGAAAACATAAATGTTTTTAATTTTGAATGAAATATAAATTTGAAAATAGCATAAAATAAGAAAAATAAATAAATTAATATTAGTATCAAATTAACTATTTAATAGTTCTCGTTTTTTTACCTAACTTATTTAATTCAATTTTTTGTTATAATTTAATTTAAATTTAATAATAAAGTAATTTATTTTTGGTTTAATAATATAATTTTTTATAAAGATAATGATAAAACATTATGTTATGACTCAATAATTATTTAATCATATTTTAAAAATTTTATATTTAAAATTAATGTTTATTCTGTAATTGATTATGTTTATCTGCAGTTAGTTACACAAATTTAAAAATAGTTGTACTTACGTAAAATTACTTTTAATCATTAATTGTTACACTTTTTATGATGAAAATGACACATACTTTTAATCCATTATTGTTACACTATTTAAATAATTAAATGACGTTTTTACCATTTAATAAATAGAGAGATAAACTTTCTCCACCTCATAACTAAGACTATATAATAAAAAAAATAGAAACTAATTTTTGAAATAAACATTTATTTTAAGACAACTTAAAATAAAAATTCACATTCAAGGGAGTAAAAAGCTATTTCTATTTTTGTAGTTCAACTTATCATCAATTTGAATCTGTAAAGGTACAGTCATATTCGAATCAGCCAAACACTTCTATAAATTGGAAACATGAAAAATGTTGTGAATAGTCTTGAGTTCTTCTGACAGTTCTAATTAATACGCTACTGTACCAATCGTTTAGTTAAAAGAGTCAACTTTTAAGAACAAATCATTGAATTTAAATCCAATTTTCAAAATATAAATAAAAATTGATTTGAGTTACGAATAAATTTGATTATCTATATTATATTATAAAGTATTTGACAAAAACTCTTATAAACCATTTTTATGCATGAAGTACTGTTTATTGATGCATATTACTTAAAATTCAAAATTACAAGTGATTTTGCGTAAGTACAAATTATTAAAGCTTCATTTTTAAATTCGTGTAACTAACTGCAGATAAACATAATCAAATACAATATAAACATTTACTTTAAATATAGAAAATATAAAATATAATTAAGATAATCATTGAATTTCTAACCGAATGTTTAATTATTATCTTTCATAAAAATTATATTATTAAACTAACAATAAATCATTTGTTGATAGACCTAAATTAAATTATAATAAAAAATTGAATTAAAGAAGTTGCACCAAACAAACGAGAACTATTATATAGTTAATTTGATACTAATATCGATTTTATTTTATTTTTTAAAATTTTTATGTTATTTTCAAATCTATATTTCATTAAAAAATAAAAACGTTATCGCTTTCTCAAAAATACATAAAATTGTATTATATCGATAAAGACAAATAATAAAAACTAAACATTAAAATTAAATTTATCTCGCTATATTGTGCGAATACCCTTTTAGTATGTATGAACCGAAAGTAAAAAAAAACACCCTCATAAATTGCATGAAAAAAAAAGTAAAATACAATAATGTAAACTTTAAGTGGCTATAAATGAATACTTTAAAAGAACAAGGAGGTAAAGTGTAATATTTTAGTGGTGATTTATCATGGGGAACTCAACCGGCTAACGGCAGTGACTCCCCCTTTTCCGACCGCGCATATCCGGTGACCATGGAAAAAGCAACATCGTGGTCTGGGAGTTGACGGCAAAAAAAGTTTAACGGCGTTAATACTTGGCATGCTTTCATTGGTGTATAAATTGACGTCGTTAGTACGGTCGTGTCACTAATGGACTGAGCATGACGGGAAAGGTAGAGGTTATACAAAGTCTTTTTTAATTAATTTATATTAAAAGCATGTCCAACCGTAATTGCTCCAATATTAAATTTAAATATTTAAATTAAAATAATCTCAAGATATTCTTAAATTTGAAATATATTATTAATTATTAGAAGGGTATTCGTACAATACAGCGAGATACATCTTGATTTTAATATTTTGTCTTATTATTTGTTTATGTCGATGTTATACAATGGTTTTATATGATTTTAAAAAAGCAATAATATTTTTTTATTTTTGAATAAAATATAAACTTGAAGATATATTAAAAATTAAAAAAATATTATATAAATATTATACAATATCTATAAAATATAAGTGGAGAATATATATATATAAGTTATATATATATATATATTAAATAATAATGATAATTAAATATTAAATATATTATTAAATTGATTTGATGTTTATAGATTTTAATGATGCACAACTTTCAAACAATCAAACCCCTACTAAGGGGTGCCATTAACACTCCCCATATCTAAAGGAAGTTCACATAAAGAAGTTAAGTATTATGATAAAATAAGAAATAAAAAGTTAAAGGAAATGTCCGTACATGGATTTTTAAGAAAATCTATTTAAATATGTACATAAAAACCTATACGAATAATGTTGTTTATATTTAAATAGATTTTTCAAACTACTATGATTCATATGAATATTTTACTTTTCTTATTTTTCA